GACCTCTCTGACACCATCCTTAACACACTTCCCTTTCAAGAGCCCACTGCACAGGTGACTCTTCCAGATGAGTATATGCCAGTGCACCAGCAGTGGTGTGGTGAATGTAAACATTTTACCCATCTATTCATTATCGTAAAAAATATAAGCAGACATGGGTGTTTTGGCTTCGCAACTCCTGGTATTTCCCATGATCTGAGCTGGAGCTCACCATTGGCTGCAGGCTTAATAAAAACACACTTTTGGGTGTATTTAATATATTTTTCAGTCTTCTGGAGAACTGAATTTGTACTCATTCTTGTGTTTCTGATAAGTGCGCTGTAATTGATTTATTCTTTCTTTATTTTATAAACTTAAACAATTATGAACAGCAGATTGAATCAACAGTTTGAATGACCAGAATAAGCTGTGGCGTCTACCAAAGGAGTTTTGAAGCTTTTATTATTTGTAAGCAAGCTTATGTCTGAATATTTCAGAGGACAGACAGAGAGGATTTTGAGACGGCAGTTTCAGCTGCTCCCGACACGAGCTCCACCAAAGTTTGGCCCTGCCTGCTTGGCCTGCATTTTGTTTTTTTCCTTATAATCAGCACCTCAGCCAGAGAGTTGTAACTGAGCATTCAGGGTGGGGTCTGGCAGACCCTAAGAGGAAGTATGGTCTGTTAGTGAATGTGTCAGCTGTTGAGGATTTTGTGATCTCTGCAGCACAAACCCAATATGACAACAAAACTGCACTTGGATGGGCTGTGCTCTGCTGCCGTGGAAAAAATCTTGATAACATTTGCAGTTTTTTTAGGGAACCTGTCGCAACAAATTATGTGTACTCCCTATTTATAGGGTTTCTTTCTTCAGTCTGCACAGGGCTTACATTATGAGACTGACTCAGGCCTTACACTTTCCCTTTATCGTCTCTTTCATTGATTCGTCCAACCTATTTTGGGTTGGCAAAATGACAGCTTCCTTTTATAGATGATATATCTTGCAAATATGATCAATGAGTAAATAAATAAGTTAATTCCCCAACAGATTTTTAGAAACCACAAAATCTGGCAAATTGACGGATGCATGAGTAAGTACTGCCAACAGATGGCTGATCATATCCTGCACAAAAGTTATTTTCAGTCTTAAAAAGTACTAAGTAAACAATATCAGGAAAAATGCTTGGTGTGCATTGCTTTATTCTAACATGATTGGATGGTTTTTGATGGTTTTCTTATAGATGGGGTCAGTACAAGCAGCTCTTCTTCTGAAGAATAAAGTATTAGTCAGAGTTTGTCTTCTTATGATACTTCACTAATTTATTCTTCTAGTTTGGTCCTGAGAACTTTAATTGTGCATTAATCTCCAGCAACTGTCATTGCCCCACGAGTATAACTGAGATCTGTTTGACTTGTATGGGTTAATGGTTCTTGTAGTACTAATCCACTGAGGTACTGAAAGGTAAATCAGTTGTTTTTTCTTGCTTATTGTGGTTGTTGTGACTTGATATTCAGACAAAGGGAGGTCCAAATGTGAAACAGCAACAACAGCCTGAGGAAAGGTCTTGTAAAAAGCCTAACAATCAGTAGAGAGAGGAGTTTAATGGGCTCTTTGGAGCTTAGGAGGTAAGGAAAGGAGATGTCTGAGAGTTAATGAAATTATCGTTTGATTTATACTTATACCAGACTTATTCTATGGGAACACAGATTAAATATTGTCAGTACCCCATCATGCTGAAAAGTGTGATATGAGTGTTTTAAGTAAAAAAGTAAACTATATTAATTTAAGTAGCATTTAAATACAAGATGAATGACTGAGACAATTAAGCAATTTAACCGAATGCTGCATTTTCTACAAGTGGCTGAGTCACGATTCCTCTTCATTAAAGCCCAGAGAGAGAGAGAGACTGCAGCAGATAACAGGAAGGCTGCTTGGCATTTTGTCATACATGCCCTTAAAGTCGTAGGGAAGTCATATTTAAATTTCAAATCATTCTGGCTTAAACATGTATATGAATGTACTCTTTATCAGACCATATTGTCCCAAAAGTTACTATATATATATATCAACGGTCATCTGTCAATCAAATATTTTTTCTATCATAGCATCTTGATTCATATTTTGCAGCTAATATACGCAGCGGTTGAAATAGGAAATTAGAATCATTTCCTTTCCCATTGAGTTCCATCCCAGTGTTCACGGGGATGGACGTCTGTGTCTTCAGCAGGCGTATAGCTAACAGAACTGGCAGCGTTGCGACGCAAGAGCTCAAACATGTACGGCTGTAAGCCTTCTACAGCAAACGAAGCGTCTTCCACAACAACTTAGTCTCCGCTTTCCTTTCTAAATAAATAATGTATGACGGAGGAGACTCATCCACGACCCCCGACACAAAACTCTCCTCCTCTTGCATGTTTCCGCTGCTACTTGGTCCCAATGTAATTTCCCATTGGGAACCTATTACCACTAAGTTGCTAACTGGTTAGCAAGATGCTTCCAAGACCCCGGCCACAACTAAACATGCTTGCGAACCTTACTTAGCAAAAATCCCACCCCCTCGATAAACAACCATCACATTGTCTTTATTCACTAATTCAGAACTGCACCTGTTGGAACAGCCGCTTCCCTACAACTTTAAAATATCCATAACACCTTTTTGAACATCAGCTAGTCTTTGTATCACACAGTGTAGCATACCTTCTGCTCCTATTATAAATAATTTATGACTGTGTATTACTGGAAGAACAGAAGAAAGTAGTTGATGTATAGCACTGAAAAACATATCAGAATCGATTGGTTTCAAACTGGAGTCCTGAAATTGGCCTCAAGAATCCGGCCAAGCAATTCAAAAAAAAATAAAAAAAGTGTTTTTGATTATTCATATAGAATCAGGGATATTTGTGTCTAAAGCTTGGCGCATGTCGCTAAGTAACCAGTCTGATGGAGGATTTATGTGGCTTCAAACTCCCTTTCCATTTGCTGAAGGATCAAAGGGCTCAGCAGTGGCAGAAAGGGCCCAGCGGCAGTGAAGTCCAGCTGCCATAATTGGAGAAGAGCTGTGTAAAACTGTCCATGGAAGGCCAGGAGCAGCTTGATTATGTTGTAAATTTAATTAGGGCATTGTTGTGTATGTGGGGAGGTGTGTGTTTTCCAACAGCTTGACCTTGCAGCAGCGGTTGTCCTGCATGTGTTTATCATCATTTATGTGTGTGAACAGGACAGAATTATGGCTTGAATCCCTGTTGTTCGAATTAGTGGATATTTGCAATGTCAGAATAAACCATCATTAAACACTTGCATTTTTAATCGAGCATAAACAAAGACATTTGTTGCTTTTTTCTCACATTCTGCTGCAGTGAATGAGCAGATAAGTGGAAGCGTGCAGAATCCAATATATATATACAATGTATGTTTATATGTACAGTAAAGCTTCTGCAGCCTCCACACAGACCCCTTTTTAAAAATGCATAAAAAGCCCTGAGATAAATGTTTTCACATTATAATGTTTTCAGAATTTCTTTTACATAGTTTCAATCAAGGTTGTCAGGATACAACATTTTTAAACTCACTACCAATATCCAGGAAAATATTTTTAAACTTTATCAACTGAATCACAGATGCTAGTTGAATAAATAATCCAGAAATCTAAAATTTGAAATAGCAAAAATATGTAAACACTCATCTTTATTAATGACACCATGTAAAATTAGTATCTTATCCGGATACTGCTTTTGACTTTCGATTCCTAATATCAGCAATTAAATATATATATATATATATATAAAAAAATGTTTGTTTTGTTTTTAAGTTTAGCAGTTTGCATTTAGCAGTTAGCATTTTGACAGAGATATTGAAGATGTTTAAAATTTTGCTATGTAGCCACCTACATTACTCGGAGGTCAAATTAAAATACCAATTTTTATTTAAAGCATGCAAATACATTTCATGATTCTTTTCCTTTCTGGTCAATAGGATTAAAAAAACGGGGAGTAAGTGGGGAATATTTACTGTATTGAGAGAGGAAAACCAAGAAAGGAAAAACAGAGGAAAAAGCATAGCAAGGTTCAAAGAACATCTGAACCGCAGAGTGAAAGCTTTCACACATGGGACTCTGTTCTTCCGCCGCGTAACGCCTCACATGAAACATTTAAATCAAACAATTGTTTCTGTTTGCTTTTTTATATATTGTTCATTGTTGACATTTTTCCTGACACACCTTTCTGTATTCAGCTGAACTCTCTGGGTGTTATCTTTGTTTTGTTTATTTTAAGCTATTAGAATATAACTAAATGGTATCAAAAGGCTAGCCATAGACTAATAGATGTAAAAAAAATACCTAATGAGTTAAAAATAAGGATGTCGCAACTGAAATAAGAAGGGTAATTTACAAGCTTTCCCAGGAAATAAGAACTGGATGTGAGAAGAAGTAAGAAACTACCAGGTGACTGGCTGAAAGTGAAAGAAACTCAGTCTGTTTATTCTTGTCTTAAATTGGTCTTAGGTTTTTGTTTCTTTGCACTCAGGTGATTTGTAATAGGAACAGGTGAGATATGAAGCAGGTTTTTTTAAGATGGGATGAGCTTGACTGTTCATGAATGCAGGTTAATGTTGGGCGGATGGTTTCCTCAGCTCATAGTTCACATTAAAAGGATTTTATTTGATAATGTCGGAGTTTTTCTTTTCTTCAAAGTACTCTAGAATGCATTTACTTACACCTAACTGTTGTGGCTCATGACCGCTTGCTTTAAAGTTTATTGCCAGTAATTTGAACAGCTAAAACAACAAAGATATGAGTGTTCATAAAGAGCCCGACACGATAAGGCTGTGTATTTGTTTTGCCTATTCAATCCCAAAAACTGCTGCTCAGTTACTCAGCAATTTTGCTGTGATTTATTTCTCCTTTGGCCTCTCTGTCTGTAGGAATTTAGTTTCCTTTGCAAATCTTTGATTTGACTATATGTAGTGTTTTCTTAAAGCATGAAACCACTCTGAATTGGTTTTAAATGGTGTCTCTTTTTCCAGGCGCTGGACCAGGATCGAACTTCTCTTCAGAAGGTTAAGAAATCAGTGAAGGCAATCTACAATTCAGGTCAAGGTGAGGCTGGTTTTCTTCAACATCTTTGTGTCTAATATTAGGTCCAATTCTGTTTTTATTCCTATTCTCAATGTATTTTATTCTTGCAGTTGTGAAATTTCCTTTCTGTACCTAAAAGCTTCCTTTGTGTAGGACAGATGGATGGTGTATTGTGTGTTCCTGTTGTCTAGATTGTCCCAGAAATCAACACCTGGGTTTTACTGCACGCTGTGTCATGGATCTGCAGTAATTTTCCACGGATTTGTTTAGAGCAGCTTTCGGCCCTGTAATTTGACAGCCTGGGATGTTTGTTTGCTCTCCAAAGAAAGGAGTAACTTTACCTCTGGGTCACTTTAACCCTTTAAGATGTACGTTAGTCTGGAAAACTGCTGGAAACAGCTGGAAGAAGTTTGTTCAAAAAGTTGCATGTGTGGTTGTAAAAATGTAAACTTAAATCGTTTCCAAAAAGGAAAGGCAGTAGAACATTAGTGCATCTTTGTACGGGAATATTGTAAGTAAAGGGCATAGAGAATATACTTGTGAAACGTAGAACTACAACAAACAGTAGTTAACACTGCAAAAAAAAATGAAATCTAGTCATTTTTTTCTTCAATAAGTGTCTTTTTTTAAACTGAGGAGGTAAGGGAGACACTTTGCCAATGGAACAAGACAATTTACATTTAAAATAAGAAAAAACAATTGCATTGTCTTATTTCCAGAGCATATTATCTAATTATCTTCTTAAGAGTAATAATACTCATCCCAGTCATCTTATTTGCCTGCTCAAATTAAGGCTAAATACACTTAATCTAAGAGTTTTTTATTTATTCCAAAGAGTTTTTGCAGTGAGGGATATTATAGGTCCTTTAAATAAATCTGTTTTGTTTAAGTTAATGTAAAACAAGCTTTTAAAACAAACAAAACAATTTTAGTCCTTTTGTCCTTTGTTTTTGGTTTGTAATGCATGAAAGTCCCCTCCACCTCCTCTCCATCAGGAACATAACGACGAGGACAGATGGGTTCTAAGCTAAGAGCTCCTGCTGCGTTTGATTCACCAGGAAAACCACACATCTTCTAACACTGACATGAACTGTACATGAAGATATTTTTTCTATCCTCCAAATCCTGCTTTCTGAGAAAAGCACAGGTCAGGCATCACAGGCCAGAGTCTCATGTGTTTGTTTTATTGCTTATGTTTTTGCTCGGATGAGGAAACCTTCCATCTCAGGAGTCTCTGTGTACTCCTGCCCACATCTGTGCTTGTATGAACGCCTGTCCGTTCCATCCCTTTTAATCCCAGGTGTGTGTCTGGGAGGACTTTAGGGACACTGGATGGATCACATCAGAAATGTTTGCCTGTTTCCTCTTGCTTTGCCTCATCTGCTGTTAAATATGCAGAGGAATTTGTTGGTGCCTCTTTAGGGGAAACTTAAAATAACAGCTGTTCCTCAAATAATTTGAAATCAGAAGGCTTATTTTCACATTTGTTCCTGTTGTTGTAGTTTTACTTCATAAACATATCTGTTCTTTAAACTGCCGCAAAACTACAAGTCCCAGATTTTCACCCTTTCCCAGAAACATTTAGACAATCGCTGCCTTTAGGTTTTTCTTGTTTTTATATTACTGTTATGTTTTCTACCTTACTGGGAGTATTATCATATAGTTATTAAATTGACTCACCAACATTTGAAATGCAACATGTGAAAGTTTTTTACACCATAAAGATTATTATTGTTGCAGAAACGTAACAATTCTGTAGACCTAACACTTTTTTAGTAAAATTCACTCTGTCCCAGGAACATAAAGCTGCTTACAGATGTTCTTCCCAAGTTTTTTTAACTCCTCAGAGAACCATTGCCTTTGCTTCTCTTAGGGGACTCAAAATGCATCGGCATTAACTCCGCTATGGACCAATTTGTCTTTTCCGATATATCAATATTGCTCCGATAAGTAAAATTGGACCAATATCAATAACTACTGTTTATTCACACCTCTTTGCCATTTTGTGTTTCTTAAGAGGAGGAGGGGTACAGAGGTTGACCATGTGGTATTTGTTTTGGCATGTGATGCAATGGCAGACTTCATGAGTTTAATGGAAGCAGAGAACATGTCATGAGAGTTTATCGTTACATATCGGTTATTGCATCCCTACTCTTTCTGACCAAAGTTCAGTGTGGTGCTCATGGCACATTTGTTATGGTGTATTTGCTGGTATAAAAACAGCTTTTATTTAATTTCTTTTTTTGGTAGTATCGAAGTATTGCTTCATTAAACTGTAAAAGTGGCCAACATTCTTCGTTTTTCTCATTTTACCTTTACTTTTACATTGATTTTACACCTAAATTCATGTTATTAGTGCAGAGTAAACATGGGTGCAAGTGGGAACATTCTCTTATTTTGTTTAGAAAAGTTTAACACTTAATTACTAGAGGCTTGTATTTGCACAGACCAGACATGAAACATGCAGATGGAGCGAAGAGGAAGACGAGCAGCTATGGGTCTTGGGAGTCCTTACTGGAACCCTGGTCCAATGGGTCAGGACTGGCCTCTGCATGGTTACCTCTACAACATGAGAAACACTCAAATTAAACAATCTGTTACAAATACACTAAATGACTTTTTCCCTTTATAGCTCAACTGCTTTAAAAAATAAATTTTAAATAAGTCAAAATTATTTCAGTCGCCCAGATTCATCTCTCTGTGAAACAGCACAACAGCCTTCACATATGTGGAACATACAGTTCTCTCTCATGTTGTTCATGTAGAGGAATCAAAAAACATTTGCTGAATGACTTATACTTATTTCAGCAAGGCACGTTTCCTTTTTTAAAGTGCGCTGAGATCTGTCTGTATTAGGGGTGGAACGGTTCACAAAATCCACGGTTCGGTTCGATTCACGGTTTCGTGGTCACGGTTTTTGGTTCGGTTCGGTTCGATTCACGGTTTC